TGCAAGTACCAGTTATTCTACAAGTACCAGTTATTCTGCAAGTACCAGTTATTTTGCAAGTACCAGTTATTCTACAAGTACCAGTTATTCTGCAAGTACCAGTTATTCTGCAAGTACCAGTTATTCTACAAGTACCAGTTATTCTGCAAGTACCAGTTATTCTACAAGTACCAGTTATTCTACAAGTACCAGTTATTCTACAAGTACCAGTTATTCTACAAGTACCAGTTATTCTGCAAGTACCAGTTATTTTGCAAGTACCAGTTATTCTGCAAGTACCAGTTATTCTACAAGTACCAGTTATTCTGCAAGTACCAGTTATTCTGCAAGTACCAGTTATTCTACAAGTACCAGTTATTCTGCAAGTACCAGTTATTCTACAAGTACCAGTTATTCTACAAGTACCAGTTATTCTCCAAGTACCAGTTATTCTGCGCGAGTGGGTCCTGGTAGAACACCATGTGAGCGGGATCTGTCATCACAACAGGCCGTTCTCTGTCCATTCATCCATTCTCTGATAGTCCGGGTCTGCAGCGAGAGTCCGGGTCTGCAGCGAGAGTCCGGGTCTGCAGCGAGAGTCCGGGTCTGCAGCGAGAGTCCGGGTCTGCAGCGAGAGTCCGGGTCCGCAGCGAGAGTCCGGGTTCACAGCGAGAGTCCGGGTCCGCAGCGAGAGTCCGGGTCTGCAGCGAGAGTCCGGGTTCACAGCGAGAGTCCGGGTCCGCAGCGAGAGTCCGGGTCCGCAGCGAGAGTCCGGGTTCACAGCGAGAGTCCGGGTCCGCAGCGAGAGTCCGGGTTCACAGCGAGAGTCCGGGTTCACAGCCAGAGTCCGGGTCTGCAGCCAGAGTCCGGGTCTGCAGCGAGAGTCCGGGTCTGCAGCGAGAGTCCGGGTTCACAGCGAGAGTCCGGGTCTGCAGCGAGGGTCCGGGTCTGCAGCGAGAGTCCGGGTCCGCAGCGAGAGTCCGGGTCCACAGCGAGGGTCCGGGTCCACAGCAAGAGTCCGGGTCTGCAGCGAGAGTCCGGGTCCACAGCAAGAGTCCGGGTCCACAGCGAGAGTCCGGGTCCACAGCGAGGGTCCGGGTCCACAGCAAGAGTCCGGGTCTGCAGCGAGAGTCCGGGTCCACAGCAAGAGTCCGGGTCCACAGCGAGAGTCCGGGTCCACAGCGAGAGTCCGGGTCCACAGTCATCACAACAGGCCGTTCTCTGTCCATTCATCCATTTTCTTCATCCGTTGCGGGGTTGGATGAAGCGGAAGAAAACAGATGGTTAGAGAGCGGCCTGTTGTGACAGAACCCACTCGTGCCGTTCTCTTTGGCAGTGATGGCAAAGTCAAGGCCCGAGAGCCACATCTGGCCCACAAATGAATGATCTTGGCCCCAGGATGTTGGATCAGTGTTAGTCCGACTCGCACAGAGCCATAAATATAATGGATCATTATTGGAATCTTTTGAGAGGCCACGGAAAATGGTCTTTGAGGCCGGGTTTGGCCCTGGAGCCTGAGGTTGGCCTTCCTGATCTAATGTATGATCATAAACTCTGCTTTCTGCTGCTCTTCTACAATAATGTTGGAGGTTTTTGATGATTCCAATCTCTTTATGAACGAGGATTAAACGCTAGAATCGTCTTAAAGATCAATAGATTGAGTCCACTGTGTTTTTCACCGATCTCGAACCGACTTTGTCCTAAAACATTCACATTAAACTGATTTTAATTAAAAACCCACAGACGCTTTGTTTTATACGAGGGGCATAAAAAGCATGTTTCATTTTGTTTTATGGAATTATAAAGTCAGGATAAAGACCAGAGTTAATTTGGCAAAGCTTTGACGTAAAATACAGATTATTATAGTTTTTGATTTAACGTCATCGTCCCGAGCCTCGAGAGAAAGTCTGTAGGAAACGGGACCAAAAACAAAACCAGACCCGGTCTTTGTTGCTTCATCTAAAATGATGTCTGTGCTTTTCTCCAGACTCTGACAGGAACGCACTAAAACCAAACCTGGACCGTTTTCTCATCAAAATAATGAAACATGATCAGGCTTAGAGGTTTGTCCAGAGTCCTGGTCCGGGTCTGCAGCGAGAGTCTGGGTCTGCAGGGAGAGTCCGGGTCTGCAGGGAGAGTCCGGGTTTGCAGGGAGAGTCCGGGTCTGCAGGGAGAGTCCGGGTCCACAGCGAGAGTCCGGGTCCACAGCGAGAGTCCGGGTCCACAGCGAGAGTCCACAGCGAGAGTCCGGGTCCACAGCGAGAGTCCGGGTCCGCAGAGAGAGTCTAGGTCCACAGCGAGAGTCCGGGTCCACAGCGAGAGTCCGGGTCCACAGCGAGAGTCCGGGTCCGCAGAGAGAGTCTAGGTCCACAGCGAGAGTCCGGGTCCACAGCGAGAGTCCGGGTCCACAGCGAGAGTCCAGGTCCACAGCGAGAGTCCAGGTCCACAGCGAGAGTCCGGGTCCACAGCGAGAGTCCGGGTCCGCAGAGAGAGTCTAGGTCCACAGCGAGAGTCCGGGTCCACAGCGAGAGTCCGGGTCCACAGCGAGAGTCCGGGTCCGCAGAGAGAGTCTAGGTCCACAGCGAGAGTCCGGGTCCACAGCGAGAGTCCGGGTCCACAGCGAGAGTCCAGGTCCACAGCGAGAGTCCAGGTCCACAGCGAGAGTCCGGGTCCACAGCGAGAGTCCGGGTCCACAGCGAGAGTCTAGGTCCACAGCGAGAGTCCGGGTCCACAGCGAGAGTCCGGGTCCACAGCGAGAGTCCAGGTCCACAGCGAGAGTCCGGGTCCACAGCGAGAGTCCAGGTCCACAGCGAGAGTCCAGGTCCACAGCGAGAGTCCGGGTCCACAGCGAGAGTCCGGGTCCACAGCGAGAGTCCGGGTTCGGGCAATAAACAAAAGTTCCTATTATACAACAGAAGAGAATAACAATACATATATTTTTTACTTATGATTTCAGGATCATGTGTTCATTTCTAAATCCTTTGGGGAGCTACCTGAAAGGGGCTGGAGAGCTACTGGCAGCTCCCAGGCTATAGTTTTAACAATAATAATCTTTGACTCCATCTGAATCCTTTCCTTTGTGTGTGTTAACAGTGAAACAGTCTAACTTTATACTGTATAAATGATGTGAGGAGACAGAAACACGTTTAGATAAAACCATGTTGTCGTCTCTGAGCAGGAGAAGCTGTGATTGACAGGTTACAAGCCCCGGTTCATGTTATATTGAAGGGTTTTGGTCCAATCAGAGCGTCCGCTGTGGTGTGGGAGGAGGGACATGATGTGCTGTTGTTCAGTGAGTGACAGATACACGCTGCTATTAGCTCGGCTGTCAGTCACTGCTCCCACGTTAGCTTTAGCTACCAGGCTAGCAGAATGTTCCCGTGTTTATGACATATATGTGTAAAAGATCATCTGTGTAATGTCTGGTGGCTTTATTGTTCACCATAGTTTCCAACAAAAAATACATAATTGCTAACATGTTTAAGAGGAAAATGTATTTAATCCCAGCCCCATAATACAGATTAAACTAAAATGATCTTTTTCACTGTGAGAGAGTCCAGGTCTGCAGAGAGAGTCCAGGTCCGCAGAGAGAGTCCGGGTCCGCAGAGAGAGTCCGGGTCCGCAGAGAGAGTCCGGGTCCGCAGAGAGGGTCCGGGTCCGCAGCGAGAGTCCGTGTCCGCAGCGAGAGGGTCCGGGTCCGCAGGGAGAGTCCGGAGTCCGCAGGGAGAGTCCGGGTCCGCAGAGAGGGGTCCGGGTCCGCAGGGAGAGTCCGGGTCCGCAGCGAGAGTCCGGGTCTGCAGTGAGAGTCCGGGTCCGCAGGGAGAGTCCGGGTCCGCAGCGAGAGTCCGTGTCCGCAGCGAGAGTCCGGGTCCGCAGAGAGAGAGTCCGTGTCCGCAGCGAGAGTCCGGGTCCGCAAGGAGAGTCCGGGTCCGCAGCGAGAGTCCGGGTCCGCAGGGAGAGTCCGGGTCCGCAGCGAGAGTCCGGGTCCGCAGCGAGAGTCCGGGTCCGCAGAAGGAGTCCGGGTCCGCAGAAAGAGTCCAGGTCTGCAGTGAGAGTCCGGGTCCGCAGGGAGAGTCCGGGTCCGTAGTGAAGTCCGGGTCCGCAGCGAGAGTCCGGGTCCGCAGCGAGAGTCCGGGTCCGCAGAGAGAGTCCGGGTCCGCAGCGAGAGTCCGGGTCCGCAGAGAGAGTCCGGGTCCGCAGCGAGAGTCCGTGTCCGCAGCGAGAGTCCGGGTCCGCAGGGAGAGTCCGGGTCCGCAGCGAGAGACCGGGTCCGCAGGGAGAGTCCGGGTCCGCAGCGAGAGTCCGGGTCCGCAGCGAGAGACCGGGTCCGCAGGGAGAGTCCGGGTTCGCAGCGAGAGTCCGGGTCCGCAGCGAGAGTCCGGGTCCGCAGCGAGAGTCCGGGTCCGCAGCGAGAGTCCGGGTCCGCAGAAGGAGTCCGGGTCCGCAGAAAGAGTCCAGGTCTGCAGGGAGAGTCCGGGTCCGCAGAAAGAGTCCGGGTCCGCAGAAAGAGTCCGGGTCCGCAGTGAGAGTCCGGGTCCGCAGTGAGAGTCCGGGTCCGCAGTGAGAGTCCGGGTCCGCAGAAAGAGTCCGGGCCCGCAGGGAGAGTCCGGGTCCGCAGGGAGAGTCCGTGCCTGGGACAATAAACAAAAAATCGCTTCATTTTAAGCTAATCTTTTGGTTATTTACACACATATTCAGTTTTTTCTGTATATTTTTTTAAATAATAAAATTGAAACAAGAAATCTGCCCAATATTTATATAAACTGCATTTTTATCCTAAACTTTGTCTCTGGAAGTGTCTAATGCTGTGAGATTACCAGTTTTGGATAATACTATGACGTACTAGATTCCTCAAAAACCAAACTTTAACTATTTCCGTTTTAGCTAGCGCCGCTTCCCACCGTTAGCTTCTCTCCCATTGGTGGACGGTCACCATGGAAACGGCGCCACAGCTGTTTGAAGCCACTTGACTGAGTTCCTAAAGGATGTAATGAGATGCTCAGAGTGTGGCTAATCCCCATTCTTCTGCCGCGGCCCCGTGTTTAAGCTGGACATGAATACAGGAGGGTTAAACGCTCTCTGGCTCCGCGCTGGAACAATCTGTCCACTTCAAAGGTTTGGATTAACCCCTCCTCACCCACTCACCCACTCACCCACTCACCCACTCACCCACTCACCCACTCACCTCTCACTTCCTGTCCACGCTGCGCTTTTCACACTCCTGCTCCAGGTTTAGGTTCGATACAAGCGGAAAAAGCACTTGACAAGCGGCCGTTTAGAGTCACTACATCTGTTTTTTAGGATTGGATTTACTCTTTTTAATGCACTCTGGATATTTATTATTTTTGTCACGTTTGCGTTTTTCATATGATTCTTGTGTTTTTTTATGTATATGTAGATTTTAATGATATAATTTGCTTGATATGACGTGGGAAAGGCGCTATACCTATAAAAGTTGAATGATTTATTGATACAAAAGATACTATAAACTTTATTGATCACGTCACATTTGGCAAAAAATATTGACTTTTTATAGACTTGAAGTTTGGGACTGAAATCTACCTCTTTGGGTTTGAGTCTCAACCATTTTGTAAAGACCTGGAATTAAAAAAACAACATAAAACAGTTAGATTAGATTATTTTACTTTATTGTCATTACAAAGTCAGAAAAATTCAACGAAATGCAGTTTAGCGTCGAACCAGAAGTTAGTACATTAAACTTTAAATGAATAAACTCAACTCAACGATAAAAGGGTTAAAAGTATTATTATTATTATTATTCCACATTCTGCATCACTGACATGGCTTTTTTGAGAGTCCGTTTCTGCAAAGATGATAAAAACATGCTTCTGATCCTTAAAACTAAAATTGCTCAAACTATTTGGTGATACGTGTTCCGGCAGAAGGAAAAAGTATGGATGTGATTGTAAATTAAAGTATCGCAGACTAATGTCGTGGTCTCTGGGTCCAGTGGAAAAACCAGGTCTGTGCTCCTCATGGGCCTCACAAAGACCGGACAAAAAGGGGATAATCCGTGAAATGTGTCCCGGGCAGAGGTCAGAGGTCGCCGTCAGCCCACCATGTGTTAGCCTTTGTTAGCTTGTGTTAGCCTGTGTTAGCTCGTGTGTGCAGGGATTAGCCAAAGGAGGAAATGAGAGGTTAAAAAGAATCCAGAGCTAGGAAATAACATAATTAGTCATTTTGTCTTTTTACTCTAAGGTTTTATTCATTAACGTGAGATTTTTGACTTTCTGCTTTTTATGCTGAAGTTAAATGTATTTATTTTAGTTAGTTAAAGTTCCTTTACCTTGTGCTGTGTCTCGTTTATTTAGGGCAATAAGTTTGAAAAGACACGTTTATTTTCAAATATATTTTATTCTTATGGTTGTTTTCTTTAGAGGTAGAACGTACCGTCGTAGTCTGTTACCGTCGTTACCGTCGTAGTCTGTTACCGTCGTTACCGTCGTAGTCTGTTACCGTCGTTACCGTCGTAGTCTGTTACCGTCGTTACCGTCGTAGTCTGTTACCGTCGTAGTCTGTTACCGTCGTTACCGTCGTAGTCTGTTACCGTCGTTACCGTCGTAGTCTGTTACCGTCGTTACCGTCGTAGTCTGTTACCGTCGTAGTCTGTTACCGTCGTAGTCTGTCGTAGTCTGTTACCGTCGTAGTCTGTTACCGTCGTTACTGTCGTAGTCTGTTACCGTCGTTACCGTCGTAGTCTGTTACCGTCGTTACCGTCGTAGTCTGTTACCGTCGTAGTCTGTTACCGTCGTAGTCTGTTACCGTCGTAGTCTGTTACCGTCGTAGTAGTCTACCGTCGTAGTCTGTTACCGTCGTTACCGTCGTAGTCTGTTACCGTCGTTACCGTCGTAGTCTGTTACCGTCGTAGTCTGTTACCGTCGTAGTCGTTACCGTCGTAGTCTGTTACCGTCGTAGTCTGTTACCGTCGTAGTCTGTCTGTTACCGTCGTAGTCTGTTACCGTCGTAGTCTGTTACCGTCGTAGTCTGTTACCGTCGTAGTCTGTTACCGTCGTAGTCTGTTACCGTCTGTTACCGTCGTAGTCTGTTACCGCCGTAGTCTGTTACCGTCGTAGTCTGTTACCGCCGTAGTCTGTTACCGTCGTAGTCTGTTACCGTCGTAGTCTGTTACCGTCGTAGTCTGTTACCGTCAGTGCTTAAATCAGAATTTAATGTAAGAGAAGATGCTTTTGAATAACAAACTGGTGGACCAAACTTAGAGGTTGTTTTCTCTAAGCCCCAGTCTCAGTCTCAGTCTGAGTCTAAAGTCTAAAGTCTCACACTCTCAGTCTCAGTCTAACGTCTCTCAGTCTCAGTCTAAAGTCTCTCAGTCTCAGTCTAAAGTCTCTCAGTCTCAGTCTCAGTCTAAAGTCTCTCAGTCTCAGTCTAAAGTCTCACACTCAGTCTAAAGTCTCTCAGTCTCAGTCTAAAGTCTCAGTCTCAGTCTAAAGTCTCACACTCTCAGTCTCAGTCTAACGTCTCTCAGTCTCAGTCTCAGTCTAAAGTCTCACACTCTCAGTCTCAGTCTAACGTCTCTCAGTCTCAGTCTAAAGTCTCTCAGTCTCAGTCTAAAGTCTCTCAGTCTCAGTCTCAGTCTAAAGTCTCTCAGTCTCAGTCTAAAGTCTCACACTCAGTCTAAAGTCTCTCAGTCTCAGTCTAAAGTCTCAGTCTCAGTCTAAAGTCTCACACTCTCAGTCTCAGTCTAAAGTCTCTCAGTCTCAGTCTCAGTCTAAAGTCTCAGTCTCAGTCTAAAGTCTCACACTCTCAGTCTCAGTCTAAAGTCTCTCAGTCTCAGTCTCAGTCTAAAGTCTCTCAGTCTCAGTCTAAAGTCTCTCAGTCTCAGTCTCAGTCTAAAGTCTCTCAGTCTCAGTCTAAAGTCTCACACTCAGTCTAAAGTCTCTCAGTCTCAGTCTAAAGTCTCAGTCTCAGTCTAAAGTCTCACACTCTCAGTCTCAGTCTAAAGTCTCTCAGTCTCAGTCTCAGTCTAAAGTCTCAGTCTCAGTCTAAAGTCTCACACTCTCAGTCTCAGTCTAAAGTCTCTCAGTCTCAGTCTCAGTCTAAAGTCTCTCAGTCTCAGTCTGAGTCTAAAGTCTCTCAGTCTCAGTCTAAAGTCTCTCAGTCTCAGTCTCAGTCTAAAGTCTCACACTCTCAGTCTCAGTCTAAAGTCTCTCAGTCTCAGTCTAAAGTCTCTCAGTCTCAGTCTCAGTCTAAAGTCTCACACTCTCAGTCTCAGTCTAAAGTCTCTCAGTCTCAGTCTAAAGTCTCAGTCTAAAGTCTCACACTCTCAGTCTAAAGTCTCAGTCTAAAGTCTCACACTCTCAGTCTCAGTCTAAAGTCTCTCAGTCTCAGTCTAAAGTCTCACACTCTCAGTCTCAGTCTAAAGTCTCTCAGTCTCAGTCTAAAGTCTCAGTCTAAAGTCTCACACTCTCAGTCTCAGTCTAAAGTCTCTCAGTCTCAGTCTGAGTCTAAAGTCTCTCAGTCTCAGTCTAAAGTCTCAGTCTAAAGTCTCACACTCTCAGTCTCAGTCTAAAGTCTCTCAGTCTCAGTCTGAGTCTAAAGTCTCTCAGTCTCAGTCTCAGTCTAAAGTCTCTCAGTCTCAGTCTAAAGTCTCTCAGTCTCAGTCTCAGTCTAAAGTCTCACACTCTCAGTCTCAGTCTAAAGTCTCTCAGTCTCAGTCTAAAGTCTCACACTCTCAGTCTAAAGTCTCTCAGTCTCAGTCTAAAGTCTCAGTCTCAGTCTCACACTCTCAGTCTATCTCAGTCTAAAGTCTCTCAGCTCAGTCTCAGTCTAAAGTCTCTCAGTCTCAGTCTAAAGTCTCACACTCAGTCTAAAGTCTCTCAGTCAGTCTCAGTCTAAAGTCTCAGTCTCAGTCTAAAGTCTCACACTCTCAGTCTCAGTCTAAAGTCTCTCAGTCTCAGTCTCAGTCTCTCAAGTCTCAGTCTCAAAGTCTCTCACTCTCAGTCTCAGTCTAAAAGTCTCTCAGTCTTCAGTCTAAAGTCTCCATCTCAGTCTAAAGTCTCTCAGTCTCAGTCTCAGTCTAAAGTCTCTCAGTCTCAGTCTAAAGTCTCCATCTCAGTCTAGTCTAAAGTCTCTCAGTCTCAGTCTCAGTCTAAAGTCTCCAGTCTCAGTCTAAAGTCTCTCAGTCTCGTCAAGTCTCAGTCTCAGTCTAAAGTCTCTCAGTCTCAGTCAGTCTAAAGTCTCAGTCTCAGTCTAAAGTCTCCATCATCAGTCTCAGTCTAAAGTCTCTCAGTCTCAGTCTCAGTCTTAAAGTCTCAGTCTCAGTCTAAAGTCTCTCAGTCATCTCAGTCTAAAGTCAGTCTTCAGTCTAAAGTCTCTCAGTCTCTCAGTCTCAGTCTAAAGTCTCTCAGTCTCAGTCTAGTCTCAAAGTCTCAGTCCAGTCTAAATCTCAGTCTCAGTCTCAGTCTCTCAAGTCTCAGTCTAGTCTCAGTCTCAGTCTAAAGTCTCCAGTCTCAGTCTCAGTCTAAAGTCTCTCATCTCAGTCTCAGTCTAAAGTCTCTCAGTCTCAGTCTAAAGTCTAAAGTCTCTCAGTCTCAGTCTAAAGTCTCTCAGTCTCAGTCTCAGTCTAAAGTCTCTCAGTCTCAGTCTCAGTCTAAAGTCTCACACTCAGTCTCAGTCTAAAGTCTCTCAGTCTCTCAGTCTAAAGTCTCACACATCTCAGTCTCAGTCTAAAGTCTCTCAGTCTCAGTCTAAAGTCTCACACTCTCAGTCAAGTCTCATCACTCTCAGTCTCTCTAAGTCTCCATCTCAGTCTAAAGTCTCACACTCTCAAGTCTCATCTCTCAAGTCTCGTCAAGTCTCATCAGTCTCAGTCTAAAGTCTCACACTCTCAGTCTCAGTCTAAAGTCTCTCAGTCTCAGTCTAAGTCTCACATCGTCTCAGTCTAAAGTCTTCAGTCTCAGTCTCTCAGTCTAAGTCTCACACTCTCAGTCTCAGTCTAAAGTCTCTCAGTCTCAGTCTGAGTCTAAAGTCTCTCAGTCTCAGT